CAGTTGGTGAAGGCCGAGCATCAGCGACCAGGAGGTCTTTTGCAGTCGTTGCCTATCCCTGAGTGGAAGTGGGAGGAGGTAACGATGGATTTTGCTATGAGTTTTTCTCGATCAAGGCAAGGACATGATGCAATTTGGGTGATTGTTGATTGATTAACGAAGTCTGCACATTTTCTTCCGATCAGACAGACGGATTCAGTGGATAAGTTAGCTCAGGTATATGTGAAGGAAATTGTCAGATTGCACGGTGTGCCAAAAGTGATTGTATCTGATCGAGATGGACGATTTACTTACAGACTTTAGAAGGATATTCAGAAAGGATTAGGTACGAAGTTGCATTTCAGTACTGCTTTTCGTCCGCAGACTGATGGACAGTCTGAGAGGACTATTCAGGTATTGGAAGATCTTCCGAGGTTATGTATTTTGGATTTTGGAGGCAGTTGGGAAGATCATATTGCTTTGATTGAATTTGCTTATAATAACAGTTTTCAGTCCAGTATTGGTATGACACCTTACGAAGCTCTGTACGGCAGAAAGTGTAGAACACCTTTGACTCTAACTGAAGTGGGAGATAAACAAGAAATGGGTTCGACTTTTGTGGATGAAACTGTTAAGAAAATCAATCTGATTAAAAAAGATTGAAAGCTGCACAAGATAGACAACAAAAGTATTACAATCAGAAGCACATATTTGTGGAATTTCAAATTGGTGACTTTGTATATGTCAAAGTCAGTCCGATGAAAGGTGTTAGCAGATTTGGAAGAGTGAGCAAGCTTAGTCCAAGGTATGTCGGACCTTTTGAAATTATTGAAAGGATTGGAAAGTCTGCTTACAGATTGTTATTGCCTGATCAAATGTCCGATATCCATAATGTTTTTCACGTATCCTCTTTGAGAAAGTGGATGTCTGATTCTGAAAAGAAACTAGCTGCTGATGATGTGGAAATTCAGGATAATCTGCAATACAAGGAAGAACCTGAACAGATTTTGGCTTATGACGTTCGTAAGTTAAGAAATAAACAGATTCCGATGGTTAAAGTTCAGTGGAAGCACAGAACAACACAAGAAGCTACTTGGGAGAAAGAGTCGGATATGAGTCAGTCATATCCGCATCTGTTCTGATTCAATTTTGTTTTAGAAATGTCGAGGACGATATTTTACTGAAGTTGGGGAGATTGTGAAAGATGTTTTTTCTTCCAGGTTCGTCCGGACGAAGTTGGATCGTCCGGGACGATCGGTACAGGTTGTAAAGGAATTTCTGGACAGAGAAGTTCGTCCCAAGACGAACTGGGGTTCGTCTGGACGAAATTTTTTCAGAGAGCAACTCGTCCTGGTACGATTACTGTACACGTTTGAACGAATTTTGTTCAGAGTGCAAATCGTCACGGGATGATTTGCGATCGTCCGAGACGACCCGGTTGGATATATATATGTAAATGAGATATTTTGAAGAGAGAGAAAAAGGCAGGAGAGAGAAAACCGAAGGAAAAAGGAAGAAAAGTTATTTTTGGGCGACTTCTGTCCGTTTTCGTTCTCGTTCGTAGCTGCAGTTGAGAAAGTTAACCGACTTAAGGTAAGGTACATTCCGCCTTTCTCAATTTTCAGAAACGAGGATTTTGATGATTTTTCTGTTCCAAATTTTGTTTCCGTTAGCGAATAATTGGTTTCGTTTTGCACTGATGAACTTTTTACCGCGTAACTTTTGGTATGTTTCTAAGATGATATTTGTGCACGTTTTGAGTATTTTTTGGAAGATTTTTACCGGGTATTTTGGATTCTACGGCGTTTTTATCGAACTACGAATTATCAGGATGTTGAAAAATGTTACTTCAGTACAATGAAAGTCTTATACTGATGTTGTGTATTATCTGTGATAATTTGGTGAATTTCTGAATCTGTGCATTCTGTGTAAATTTCATATACTGCCGTTATGCCGCTGAGAATTTTCTAACGTAATCTGATTTTCTGAATTGAATGTTTTGATGTGCTGTGATATCAGAAGGGAGTTATAAGGGACCAGAATCCTTTGAAATTCTGTCTGTGTCAGGGAAATCTGAGAAAACTGAAAACAAGTTCTGTTATGAAAATTCTGTATATCTGTTCTATTCTGATGCTATACGCACAAAGGGAGACATAAGGGGTCAGAATCTGAGATTCTGTCAGTGTCAGGGAAGGTAGGCATAAGGGGTCAGAATCCGTCGAGATTCTGTCAGGGTCAGGGATATGTGATATGTGATATGTGAAATGTGATATCTGAAATGTGATTTTATCTGATTTGAATTCTGAGTTGTACGATCCTATCCGTTCTGTGATGTGAAAGTTTTATAAGTTTTATAAGATCTGTTCTGAACTCTGATTTGAATTCATGTATCTGTTCTATCTGTTATACGATTTATGTACGGCTATTTGAATAACTGTTTCTGATGTGTATTTCTGAAGAATTTGATTGGTGAGTGTAGTCTTGCTGAGCTGTTAGCTCATCTTTTTTTTCTGCGTGGTTTTCAGGTTGTAGGAAAGGGAAGGAAGTCTTGGGCTAGCAGTTCTGTGTCTGATCAGTGATTAGGTATTTTGTACTTTTGATTTTGTACAGTCATGGCTTTTATGTTCTGTTCTTTCTGTCTATAGCCATGCACTGTAATGCATATGATTATTTTGATGAAAGAAAGAAGAAAATAGTGGATGCATTTCTTTATATGTATTTGAAGTTAATAGCAGTTCTATGTTTCTGTTTGTTCGAATATTTGGAAGAAAGTTCTGAAGCAAATTCCAAAACTAGATCCTGAATTTTCAACGTTTGTCGCGGCCCGACGCGAAGGGATTCGTTCCGGTCGGGTTGGGTCGTGACAAAAGGGGAGGAGGGCTTGTGGTTTACCGACAGTGGGAACTTGGTGGAGGTGGCCGGCGGGTTGAGGTGGGTGTGGGCCTTGGGTTGGTGGAATAAGGAGGGAGGGAGATTAGAAAGAGAAAGAAAAGATAAAACTAGCCACGAACCCGGACTCTTCCAAGGTTGGTGGGTGATCCGCTTCCCTTTCCAAGGAATCTCTCTTCAACACCTCTCAAGCTCTCACAAAAACTCAAAATGTAGAAAATTTTATGATTGATTCATTAACCTTCAAAAGAAAACATAAGGGCTATATATAGCCTCGTACAATGGACGAGAAAATAAAAAGAAAACTTAGCCCTTTGGGCTTACACATGACCACCCTTAAGTAAGAGATAGAAAGGAAAAAACAACTAAAGCAAATACAAAAAACAAATAAATAAAAACAAATATATATGAGGACTTTAAAAATATGTAGGTGCGATCGTGGCTGTGGATCGGTGACCTCGCCTTTGATAAACTTTCTATGCTCCGATGTCCCCATCAAAATCTCTTAATATAACTTCTCTTGCATGAAACCCCACTGTCATGAATTGATCGTTGAGTGGCTTTGAGTAATTTTCATGTTAGTAAAATATTTCCCGTTTCCAAGTAATCATAAAGATATTGTCTTCAATAATCTTGATAGCAACTGAAAGCCAAAGGGAGAAAGAGTAAAACCAAAGTCAAGAAACAAAGTCAACCAAAGTTAAGAATGTCATACAAAGAAAGTTGGTAGAAAAAAACATGGCCTAGCAGGGATATACGATCTTTATATTGACATTTTTTAATCCTATTTTTAATAATAAATTTCGTTTGCATGCATATGGCCGACCTAATCAGAGATGGGTGAAAAATTGCTGTCATGTTTTAAAAATGAAAAATTGAATTTATGTAATTGTGCTGATTGAGTGAAGATTGATTTATACCAACAAGAGGAAACACAATTTTTTTTTTGTAGAAGTCCCAATGTAATCTCATATCTAGTGTTTGCACATGTTTAGGTTCCTATGTGTTAATTTTGGAAATCATCTCAATTGGAACATTTGTTGAAAATGTTTTTCATTTTTTGTACTCTCTTTTTGTAAGATCATATGACATTCCAAACATTGGTGAGAAGTTTTTTCTTGTGTTTTCTTCCAGCAAATTTACTTTTTATTTTTATTTGAAGGAAGGAAATTTAGTTCCAAATGAGAAAAATTTATTCATGATAGCAATTTGTATGGCTGGATAACATAATAAAGTTTTAGATATAAATAATTTCCCAAGTCAAGGAAATTATTTTACAGACAGGAATAACATATTCCCTCCCTAATCATCCTATTACATTGTACTCAGAAGCAAAATATATATTAGCATTCCCCGCCAAAGAAACAAAATATTACACACCTCTTGATATTTCACAATTCTGTTTAATCTCCTAATATCTCAGTGTATTAGTTGCATTGGATCTCTAACCATCTAGATCTCCATGCATAACCTTCTCGTTGTTGTGAAATAGGTGGGGTTTTGAGCTTTATGGATTTTTAATCTTGTTGATAATGTTAAAGGTCATATTAAATGTGTTTGAACAAGAATTCAATCTTTGGGCTTTGTGAACTGACATGTGTAATATGCATACGTTATTGCATGCATTGATTGTGTTCCATTGGTGGCTAGTTATTAAAAAAAAAAAACAGCACACGGGTCTCCCCCTAATATAAGGACTTGGTAGGGGTTGATGCACGCAATTTCACCTTTGCATTTGCACAGAGGTTATTTTCATGTGTCTAAACTTAGTCCTCTAGATTACGCTAGAAATAATTTAACAATTGGTCCAGGCCCATCCTCTACTGGTGGTTAGTTGTGGATTCACTCTTGCCACTTAATATTTTGATAACTAGCATGTTAGAATGCTACCACTTGAATTTTTAAATGATTATTGAAATCCCATATCAATTAGTTAAAGGGTTTAAAAATGGCCATCTTACAAGAAAGCTCTAATTAATAATACACTTGCATTGATGAGCAAACTCTCTCTAGCTCTTAGTAGACAAAAGTTTATTCATCGGCACTTCTCCCTTCCTCGGTAAAATTGTTTTTTTTTTTTGTTAAAATTTTAAGTATGAGTTATTAATTTGATTTATAGTTTTCCTTTGTAGCATTCTTTCAGATTGCATTCCAATTAATGGTTGTAAACGAAAACCGTACTTGGTCATAGCTACTGTACTTTCCCTTATACCTTGGCCTGTTCTAGGCCTGATATCATCACTTATGAATTCACATAATTTCCTAACTGCTTTGTTGACGATGCAAAACTTGGGATCTGCCATGGCAGATGTAGTTATTGACGCGATGATTGCCGAGGCAGTTCGATCTGAAAGGTATTTATCTTACAGTTTTTTATGCCTTTTCTTTTATTTCAAAATATTAAAAACTTATTTTGTATGAATTATTTAAGCAGAGCAGAATTTGCTGGTGATCTCCAATCACTGTCTTGGTTAATGATGGCTGTGGGAGGAATATGTGGGAACTTGTTAGGAGGCTATGCGCTTTCCAGTTTTAGAATATGCTCTATCTTCCTTCTTTTTTCTATACTTCCAGGCATTCAGCTTCTATCGTGTGCCTTTATCAAGGAGGCCTCCTCAGAATATCCTGATATTGGAGACCTAAAAAATAGCAATCTACAGGAGAGATTATATAGTTCAACAATTTCACCTGTTGGTGCATCAAAATCTGAGGCTCTGAGGAGGCGAAAAAAAGAGCGTAATCATGATTGCAGTAAGCTCTCCTACAGGGAAGCTGAAGATGTGAAAGAAAAAGGGTCATTGGCTTTAAGTTTAAGACGCTTTCAATCTATGAGATCGGCTATTTATAGTTTGTACGATGCTTTCAAGAATCCTCTTATTCTAAGGTAGCCACATGTGTCATTATTCCATTCGTTTTGATTCTTAGCCTCAACCAGAAGTTGCAAATTTTTTCCTAAAACTCCAGTTATACATTATTTTTGTAAAATTTAATGTTTTGCTCCCTGCATTTGCCAGACCAATGGCCTGGTTTTTTTTTTCACATGTTGCAGTTCCAAACCTCTCAACAGTCATGTTCTATTATCAGACTCAGGTGTTGCATCTGGGAGCATCATTTCTTGGGGCATCTCGTGTTATTGGTTGGTTTGGTCTAATGATTGGAACATATATTTATAATCAATATTTGAAGCGAATGAAATTACAGAGAATTCTCATGTAAGGCATGTTGATCTTTGCTGAACTTTCTAACTTTTATCTGTATTTATGAATGACTTTCAAATAGAATTGACTTTCAAATAAATGAGTACATAGTACATTAAAGAGAGAAATTAATTATCTGGAGATCACTTAGAAATAGTGTCTTTTGCTTGTTGCAATCCAAAAACAATCTTAATTCCTAAAAGATAAAAATTACATGTTAGCATTTACTCTCTTAGGTGAATCAGCTATAAGTCTGTCCACGCAATGGTATAATCCAAATTTTATCTCAAAATTTGTTGATCTATTTTCTGCATATTGATACTGAAGGTTTAGATAATAGCTTACTGCATAGAATTGCTGATGAAGCTGTAGCTTTCATCTTTCATCTTTCATCTTTCATCAATAATATTTCAAATTTTTTTTGTAACCGTCCTTTTCAAATTATGGGCAACATCTCTTTTGTTTCATCCATAATATTATATATGAAGCTCAGAACATGACTCTTCTCAGCATCTACCATTCTCAGATTGCACTAGTGGCCTAGTTGTTGTAATAACATACATCATAGTTTGTCAAAATCAGTCATTTAAGACAATTTTCCTAACTTCCTTCCCCTTGATTTTTTTTTTAAGCACATCTCAACATCTCTGTTGAAGTGAACATAGCATCAAAAATCTGCATTGCCTTCAACATGTTCTGCAAAGTCAAAGAGACAGTGACAAATCTTGTTGCTGCAAGTTTAAGTATTTTTTTCTTTGAAAATTTTCTTGTAAGTATCAAAACTCAAGAATGATTATATATAAATTCCATTATCATTTTAGTTTTTGTCATTACATTCTTATAAAGATGAGATCTATGCAATGTTTTGCACATAGAGTCCAATATAAATATTTCATCTTCTTTATAAGTTTTGCCTTTGCATCCCTAAGAGCACTGATATTATTTGTTATCACTTCAACTATCAAGTGCTTCACAATCTCCTCAACAACACCATGAAGAAGTCAAAAAGAAACTTAACATCTTTCACTTTATCAGATGCCTCAATGAACTTTAAGAACACAGTGTCATAAGGGTCATTTATCATTATGTTCATCAATCTTCTGCTCTTTATATCTAATCATCCATTAGACATGATAATTATTTCTATTTTGCTTTAAGTCATTTTAATTTTCTCAATACCTCTTTCAATATTTGTCAAGCTCTCCTTCAAAGCCCATGTCCTCAAATTATACATGGATGGAGGATTAAACCCTTGCTCGTGACTTACGATCTGACAGGAAGGGAATGCCATGAAGAAGTGTGAGGCTCGTTCAAAACTCTACCTCACGTTCCTTATGTGAATCAAGCATTGTCGAACAACAATTAAGAAATGACGAAGAAGAATCGAAGGAGGCAAAGAAGCTTGCCGCTATTTCAAAACTCTACCTCGCGATAAGCATGCATCGTCGAACAACAATGAAGAAATGATGAAGAAGAATCGAAGGAGGCGAAGAAGCTTGCTGGTCTTTCAAAATTCTACCTCATGTGAAGTAGGCATCATCAAATTAACGAATAAACGACAAAGAAGAGTCGAAAAAAGCGAAGAAGCTTGGGACTCTTTCAAAACTTTACCTCACGTGAAGCAGGCGTCATCGAACAACAACGAAGAAATGAGAAGAGGAGTCAAAGGAGGCGAAGAAAACAACAGCTCATTCAAAACTCTACCTCACACATGAAAGAGTCGAAGTCAAATAGACTTTTAGGTCTAGGTTTAACAAAAAATTATATGTTTATTTAGGCATGCACCTCTTTCTAGTGAGATGAGGTGCGCCTCAAGCAAATTGAGACAAGACGCGCCTTAGCCAAATTGATGTGCACGCCTCGAGTCATTTTTCGGCTAAATTGCGCTAAGGCGTGCCCTTTATTGTGTAGTTTTAAATAGCTTTTCTAAGAAGTATCAACTCTAGTTTCATTTCAATACCACAAAATCTATTTGAGGCACTTGAAAACAATAATTAAAAGGGTGCTATGAGAGAAAACATGAAGACACTTGAAAAATTTACATTTGTGAAGTAATTGAACTATTGAAAGGAAAAAAAAATGCTTAGAGCAAGTGGATTTCTTTTATAAAATATAATAAGATAGACGAGAGTCTGAAATGGTACAAAACAATAATCTTAACTTAATGTATACTTAACCATGTGAAATTGATTATCAAGAACATTTGCTCATGTTGTAAAAAATGAATGCTTGCCTGATCTTGGATGATTTATATATATTAGTATGATATAAAGAATGTCTTCTTACGTAGAGATATGAAAAAGTCTATATGAATCCTCCACTAAGGTTCAATAGCTCGTTCACAGAGAATAATTTGTGCAAATTGAAAATGGCACTATTTGGATTTAAATAGTACTAGAGAGCATAATTTGGCAGATTTATAAAAACCATGATTGAAGCTAGATACAACAAAGCTAAGGGGATCGTATGCTCTTCATAAACTACTCCACTAACTCCGAAATTTGAATTTTCATTGTATTGTTGACGATATAATTGTTACAAGTGATGAAAATAAAGGAAAAGAGTTTATCAAAAGAAAGTTTATTAAAGAATTTGAAATCAAAGAATTGATCTAACTCAATCCTCTCTCAACAAAAAAACTATCACACACTTGTTAAAAAAGATAAAAATGACTTATTACAAATTTTGTGAAACCTCAATTGAATTAGGTCAAAATTTAGTTGCAAATAAAGGAGTGGAAGCAGACATGGGACAATATTAAAGATTATTTGGAGAACTCATGTCTAATTCACACATTTCCTTAGATCACTTTTGCAGTAAGTATCATTAGTAAATTCATGCATAAACCCAAAGAATCTCACTTTTAGGCTCTTATACAGTCCTCAAATACCTTAAAAATCAAATCTTAGAAAAAGAATTCTTGACCAAAAACAAGATACTATATAAGTTGAAGGTTATATTGACACAGATTATATATAATTAACAGTGGATAGATCCATTTTAGGATATTATATATTTTTGGCTGAAAATCTCATAATATGGAGGAGCAGGAAACAACTGGTTGTTTCATGATCTAGCACTGTCTCTAATTGAGAGTAATTTCTTAAGGAATCTACAAACTGTTCTGCATCAAAATCTGTTTGGAAGATTTAAAAATCAAGTGAGAAGGGCTAATGAAGATATATTGTGACAATAAGTTTATCTCCAGTATTGTGCATAACCCAATATAACATGATCGTATCAAGCATATAGAGATAGATATTTCATGAAAGAAGAACTAAAAAGTGGGTTGATTTGCACTCCTAATATATCATCAGGAAATTAACTTGCTAGTATATTCACCAATAGATTTTGCAGCCCTGCGCCCAAGAATATTTTTTACAAATGTTAAATGATAGATTTATACTATCAAATATGAAGGGGAAATGTTGTAGACCGTGCGGTCCCATTGTATGGGACCCATTCCACTTCTTGCACCTGACCAAAATTTCACCCAAGAGGAGTAGCAGTAACATGTAGCCAATTAGAGTATGATCTAATGAGAACATGGATCGAGTAACTTAGCTATAGGATATTCTCTCTTTACCATTACATTGTAATCCATGTGCTCCTCTCTCTTCACCTAACTGCCAGCACTACTTTTTTTTTATTATTTATGTAAATTGTATTTATCTTATTTTATATTTATTGTCTTTGGAGGAGGTTAAAAATAGAATGAAGGGTGGAAAAGCTGTTGGACCTGATGATATTCCAATAGAGGTGTGGAAATGCTTAGGAGATGAAGGGATTTCTTGGCTTACTAAACTTTTTAATACTATTTTGAAGACTAAAAAGATGCCAGTTGGAGGAGGTTAAAAATACCTCTAATCTATATAATAAAATTTAAAGTACCTTTTCATAATTCTGTTTTTTTACATGGCAATAAAATTTGTGAAGAAATATGTCACTTTGCTTTTGGTACATTTAGTAGATTTTCTTAGAAAATATTTTAGTCAGCTGATTATACTTTTTCTTTATCTTGCAGGTTGGCACATGTTGGTCTTGGAGCTGTTAACTTTCTGGACATTGTTCTAGTGTCTGGATTAAATACTCGGTTATCCATTCCAGATAAGTACATGGTGCTTGGTGGTTCAGCAGTTGCTGATGCAATAAATCAATTCAAGTACATTCCCTAACTTTCATTCTGCTTGGCATGCTACTATTGTTATAGTTTTTCATGTTCTTTGTGTCTGCAATCGCTTGATTGATACAATTTTATTAATATAAAAGATTAAAATCTTGAAATTTAGAAAGCATGTCATGTTACAAAAAGCAATTTCCTTTTGAAGTTATATTTGTATTTTGAATAACAGACTGTTTTGTTCTAGTTAATGAATCCTATGACTGGATATTTAAAAGAACAGCTTTGTAAAAGCTTCTTTTGTTCCTCTTGAGTTTTCAAAAAAATATTGAACGATATTATGCAAAAATTAAGAATATTGGTTTAAGAAAAAATATTCCGTTTCATTAGGGAAATTTTTATTCTATTTCTCTTTTTCTATTTGTTTTGCTTTTGTTGTCACTTAAAATAGAAATATGTTGGTGTGTGTATTTGTTTCTTTTTGATAATAGTTATTTTGAGAACAAGTGAAAATAGGTTGAATTTCAGGATGAAAAAAGATTCCGTTTCAGTTGGGGAATTTTTTACCAAACATCTTTTCTAACACAGGTAATCATTTTTAAGAACAAAACATTAAAAACAGGAAGCAAAAATATAACCTAACATGCCCTTCACGTCCTAGGAAACAAATGAAATTCATACAACTTAGGAGCTATTTGGTTTGCTGGGAAGTGAATGCAGTGTAAAATAAATGCACTATGAAGTAAATATTTTGAGGTTGTTTGGTTTGAAGTAATGTGAATGTAGGGGAACTTATTTTTCTATTTGGTTTGAAGTAATGTGAATGTAGGGGAACTTATTTTTCTATTTGGTTGGCTTTATGTAGAGTAAAGAACAATCTGCCTCTACCAAAAATTGCTATCTTTCAGACATTTACCCAAACACCTTGAGTGCATTCACTTTTATCTACATGATCAAGATTGGCTGCATCATGAAGATTTACATGCTTGCACTTGGAAGAATCATGAACAAGCAAATCCCAAGAATGTCATGTTCATTTCTTAATCGCAACAGGAAAAATTAAACCTTGATATATGTCCAAGCGCCCAAATCCAAATCAGGAACAGTAAGAAATGTTTTCAGAAAACCAAAATTTGCAAACATTTTAGGAAGCATAAAAGGGTTTTTATTAGTATCAACTATGGGATAATACCTATACATGAAAGTACCAAGGCCGATGCTATTTTTGCAGAGACCACAAGCTGTGAGGAAGGGCATGGCCTCTACTATAGAAGGATCCCTCGAGCATCTCTTTTTCATGCTCCTTTGCGGTGCCATCAAAGGCGGCAGCTTTCCATCCCGCCTGGTATCTGCTGCCAGAGGTTGTGGAGGGATTTCTGCAGAAGAAGCTGCTGTTGCAAGATCTGGAGATAGTTCTACTATGCTCATCATTCTCTTCATTAGAGTCCGTTGTCTCTTCCCCATTAGCGTACCCAACCTCTTCTCTCCCTGTCTCTCTCGTTCGGTCTCGCTGTCCTCACATGAAGCACTGAAGTCTGAGCCGCGATGAAATAGAGAAGATGAAAAGCTTTAGTGGAGGAAGAAACGACGATGTTCCCGCCTCAAAAGGAAGAAACGATGATGTTTCTGCCGCAGAAGGAAGAAACGACAATGAAAAGTTTGTGTGATTTCCTTTTTCACTCAAAACGTGCGTGTTTCTTTTACTTGCGAAATGAACTATAGTGGGGGGTTCATAATACTTTAGGATTTCGTTTTACTTTTCCCCGTGTCAAACAAAACAAGGAAAAACTCAAATACGCATGTTTGGTTTACTTTGCACTCCGTTTACTTTCGACCAAATAGCCCCGCAATGATGTTCTGAGTTTTTACCTCATTAGTTTCTCACAGATATTGTTATGAGGTTTGTGATGTCTATTTAAATTTTTTTACTATCATATTGAGTAGCTATCTGGTTATTTAATTTTGACGTCATATTTGCGAATCAATGTGTTAGTCATCAGAAAATGTTGAGAGGTTATGGTTAGAAGTGAAAAATTATATATTTGCACGTCAGTTGTAGAGCTTTTTGCAACAACATCATCAAGCCTTTATTCGGGGTCGGCTACATAAATCCTTTATATCTATTAAGTCCTATTAAGAGTCAATTTCTCATTTAAATCTAATAAAGAAAGATTTTTTCGAATATTTTCTTACCAAGTTTTTTTAGATCTACTCTACCTTTCTTAACATGTGCCAAATTTAATATATCTACCCTCCTAATAGGGTCATCGGAAGGCCGCCTTTTACCTAACCATACTATCTAAGGAGGCTCTCTGTAATCTTATTTGTCACTAGAGCTACTCCAACCTTTTAACGAATATGATTGTTTTATATCCTGTCTCTAAGAGTAAATCCACTCATCCAACTGAGCATCCTCATCTCAACAACAATTAATTTAACATTTTGCTTCTCTTTTAATGGCCAATATTCTGCTCTATAAAGCATTGTAGGTTTCACCACCAACTTATAAAATTTTCCCTTAAATTTGAGTGGTACGTTTCTATCACACAACAAACCCGAAGTATTCCACCACTTCAACCATCTAATTTGAATTTTATTAATAATATCCCCATCTATTTTACCATCACTCTAAACATTAGACCCAAGATATCTAAAATGAGTACACTTATTAATCACTTGATCGCTCAAATTCACAAACCCCCACTAGATCTATTATTACTAAAATTATAATCAAAGTATTCGATTTTAGATCTACTCAAACGAAAACTTTTAATCTCTAAGGTTGACCCCCATAATTCGAATTTACCTTCAATTCCCTTTCTAGTCTTATCAATAGGAAGAATATCATCAGCAAAATACACCAGGTGTATGCTTTATAATAGTCTTCAACTTTCTCTCTAGAGCTTTTTGCAGCTTTATAATATTTCATCTTTAATTTGGTGTATTCTATTTTATTAGAAAGTATCTGACATGCATCTTGTTGATAGATCTCTTTCTTGCATTCTGTCAAGTTGGCTTTGATTGTTGCTTCATTTTCTTGAATTCATCCCGTATTTTCTTGAATTCATCAATTGGCTATGGATGAATCTCAAAACAGTCAAATATTTGTTCTAATAAAGAAGAATTAATTCACTTTACTTAAGGTAAATGGAATATCACTCAAGAAAAGTATTTCACCATAAAAAAATGCCTGCAAAAATTAAATCAATAATGAAATTTTAAATTGATCTTTTAAATGCTTAATTTTTATTACATATTGATTGTAATGCAGCCAAATATATAATAAAAACGATGATAAAAATTTTGCTGCAAAATAAATTTTTGCTACATGGCAAGAACTATTTATTTTTTTATTTTGATGTTGAATATATTATAGAAATATTTAATTCATTTCCTGATTTCTTATCTCGTGAATATTTGTAGAGACAATCAGGGGTGAATAACCCCAAAAAGGAGTCTAGTGACTCCAACTTTTTTTAATTAAGAGCTATTCCTTTTGAAACTTAAAACACATCCTTACTAAACTTTTTAATATTATTTTGAAGAATAGAAATATGCTAGATGATTGGAGAATGAGTGTTTTGATTCCTATTTTTAAGAATAAAGGTGATGCACAAGATTCTGTGAATTATAGAGTTAAGTTGATGTATCATACTTTAAAACTTTGGGGAGAGAATTATGGAGCATAGGCTACTACGACGTGATACAAATTTTTCCTTAATTTTTTTAGCACTGGTGCAAAACCTCAAGAAATTGATACCTGTCGGTACAAGTATGGATTATATGAAAGCAGGTGTCTGTATTACAAACGATTTCATCAGAATTGTCTAAATAAAATGAGTTATTTTATAGATATTTTTCTATAATTTTTAAAGCCCAAAACATATTTTTATAAATTTTATACTAACAATTATTTAAATTATATAATTATGTTATATCATGTTATTATTTTATTAGAAATATCTTAAAGCATTATTAAACTTAATCCTTTTTTTCTTTTCCTATTTGGCTAACAGAGACCTCTTAAAGGAATTGAGAGAAAAAATGTGGGGAGAGAAAAGAAAAGCAAAAGCCTATATTTGGAGGTCATAAAGTAATTTTTGTTAGGTGGATCTGTTGGGAGATTTGCTCGTCTCATTGTAAGGAGCCATTATCATATTTGTGATTTTGATAATTTGATTTCTTTGAGATTTTCCTGATCAAATTTGTATTTCTGTTATTGAAAAATGAGGATAATTTTGTAATAGTAAAACTTCTGCGCATAACATTTAGTATGTGATAGATGTCATCAATATGAGTGTTTTGACAGAAATATATTGAATTTTCACAAGTTATTTTTATAGTTTGGGTTAAATATCATAATTTTGGTAATTTAGAAATTTGTGAAATAATTATTAAAACCATTTTAGGATTGGCCTATAGGACTAGATACAATAAAAACATCATAGATAACTGGATGTCTTCTCTTTTTATAGTACATGTATATGTATATTACAGGAAAAGTTAAAAGATAGACTGATGAATGAATGTATTTAACTCTTGGTTATTGTATATGAAAAATGAATATTGTTTTATATTTTGATGAATATAATTTTTAATTGCTTTGGCCATTTTGATTTATATTGATAGATTCATAGAAGTTCTGGTTGGTTAATGAAGAGATTAAAATAAACAATTCTTCCGACTTGATGTAGTGGGACAAAGGCTTGATGTTGTTGTTGTTGAAAATTTGGTCTTAGGGTGTTGCACTCCTTGTCTTACTATTTTTGTCCAACATGCTCTTTTTCTTAACCATGACAATATGAACGCGTGATTATAAATAATTTTTTTTTATCTTTGAAGCTTTTCTTGCAAGTTTCATAATATAAGACATATTATTAATGTCGTTGAGAATAAGATTTATGCAATATGCAGCACATAGTGACCAACATATGTTTCTAAAATTTTCATACAATAACTCACCAATTTTTTTTATAATTTATTGTGTTATCTTTTACAAAAATGAATTATATTTTTTGGGCCAACCCATTCAACAACATCAG